TTTCAACCAACGGCAGTCACTCTCCAAATAACTTCTGCTTAGCTTTCCGAGCTTCCCTCGGGTCCTCTTAATCAGCGGTCTCCAACCTTTTTTGCGCCACGGACCGGTTTATGCCCAACAATATTTTCACGGACCGGCCTTTAAGGTGTCGCAGATAAATTAGGGAGGGGCTAATAATCGGCTCAGTCATTTTTAATGATCGTTGAAAGCCCAGATCGTAATCGTGATTAAAATTCGATTAATTGAGCAGCCCTAACAGACAGTGCAGAAGAGAGTGCAGGCAGAGTGGAATGGGTAGAAACTAGTATCAGGTTATTTGTGACAGATGGATGGCAGCAAGAGTGCAAGGGAAGATTTACATCATGGTACTGAGACCTGTTGGGATGTATGGTAACAGGAGGTCAGTTTGGAGGTGGCAGAGTTGAAGATGTTAAGATTGTTATTCGTCGTGACCATGCTGCTGCTCGGTTCCTCACAGGCACCTGAAAAAGACATCAGGTCTCACCTGTTTTAGCTGCTTGGCAGTAAGGTTCAGAATCTATTTCAGATCATCTTGTTTGCCTACAAAAGCCATAGTGATTTGACTCACTCATTAAATCTCTGACCTCTTACACCCCCGATCAGCTTCCAGGTCATTCTTGTCTGCTGATCCGATGCTTCTGACTGTCCCTTGCTCTGGAGTTAAACTCAGAGGAGACTGTTCTCTGTGCTTCTCTGTGCTGTGGAACAGCATTTCTCTCACAGTCAAATCTGCTCCTGCTCCCTTCCCTCTGTCTGATTGCTCATTGTGTCTCCTGTGCTTTTTACAGCCATGATTATTGATGTTTCTCACCCACATGTATCTATTTATTGGACATGGACATGTGCAGAGGAAGGATTATAGATGTATTGGTCAAAGGATATTGAATATGGAGCTGCCAGGTAGAAGGAAAAGAGGAGGAGCACAAAAGATTCATGGATTTAATGAACTAGGACATGCAGAGGGTTCGTGTGACAGAGAAGGATGTTAGGGAACGGGTGAGATGGAAGCAGATAATATACTTCTGTGACCCTTAAAGGGAGCAGCTGAAAACAGAAGAAGAAGAACTGAATCATTCTTTTGACAAATGGAAGCATCAGTTTGTCTGGTTAAATTTTAGTGTTTCAGCTTGCAGAGGTCGATCAGATGTACTTGATGTTTACTGTTTGTTTTGCCAGGAATTATTAAGTTGAAGAACAATGGAGACTTCTTCATTGCCAATGAGGGCAGGCGGCCTATTTACATAGATGGCAGACCGGTCCTGTCAGGCAACAAGTGGAAATTAAATAATAACTCAGTGGTGGAGGTAATGTCAGAATCTTAACCAAGTTGTTTATTATTCATATTAAACGGCTGTTTAATCTTTTATTCTTGCTTAAATAACCTGTCTGTTTCTTCAGATTGCAGGTCTTCGCTTCGTGTTTCTTATTAATCTGGATCTCATCTCTCTAATAAAAGCTGAAGCAGCCAAGATGACACAACAGTGATCGTCAGCCTTGCAGCTGCAGAATCGGCCTATGGCAGCAGAGCATGTCATATCAGGCAGTCTGCTCAACACTGGTTACAGGTGCTCTTGTGAGGCATTGTAGTGCTTCGAGGGGATAGGACTGACAATGGCCTTCTCACCCCTCAGCCTGAAATGTGATTTTCACACAGGCTTCAGCTAAATCCTGGAGCACGACAGCAACAGGTTTTTACTTGGTGTGTGGATATTTTATGTTGTATGTAATGTAGACATTCTCACAGAGCCTCGCTTTTTCCAGCTTTTCACAATATTGTATTTAAATTCTGTAGTAAAACTTTTTCAAATTAATAAACTTGTATACACAATGAATGTCTGGCTGTTTGAATATTAAATTTTGCATGTTCCCAAAAAAGAAAAAAACAGTTTTGGACGAAACAAACTTGCAAAGAAATCTGTTTGTAAATAAGAAGTTAATAGAAAAACATCTGAAAACACTGAATATTGACTTTACACAAGATGACTCGAGGTATAAGTCCACTATATCTTTTGACTGAGACTCTTTATATGCTTATTTAGCATGCATGCATGCATGATGAAGCATACTGACGGAAAATGAACTCCCTGTTTAACTTAGACACTTTAAGTGCTGAACACCACTAAAGTGTCTGAGAGCACCAGTGATCGCTAGTTCGGCTTTTCAAATTAAAAAGGTAATGCATGTGAGCAAAACTGAGTGTATTACGTTGTTCCTCTTGGGCTGAGTGCCTTTAACTTAAGTTTAATCAGTTTTATTCCATCATCTCAACAGTAAGAAAGATTTTACTAAACTATAACAGTGAGGTCAATGCACGGATTGGGAGAATTTGAGGGGAAAATTATTTATGGCCTTTGCTTTTCCTGTGTGATATTAGTCTGTTAGTCTGCAACAGCTTTATTTGTTGTATAAGAGGCGCCCTGCAGGCCTTTGCCCTGTTCTTCTGTTTAACTAAGCTTAATATGCCTTAATTAGGCTAAAATATTGTTTGCTCACAAAACTAATTTCATTCTCTATTATTAATTTATTAATCCTAGAGGAAGTTATCTTGCCTAACATTCAGTTACTGTAGGATGGAGTAGAGTCATTAACTTTTACATTAAACTTTATTTTCACCATAGAGCTTTGTTGAATGACAACGAGTAATGAGGCATGAATAGTCAATGGTCTTCCCAAAATACATACCAAGTGCATTTAAAGGACTGACAAAATAACACATTTCATTAAACTGACAGCATGTCAGTACAGGTTTAACCATCCTGCTCTGATTTGTTCGAGATGAATTTTAAAGAACCAGAAAATCCAGATTCCTCTCAAGTGTCACCCTTTTTGTTACCAAAGTGCTGAAGTATTAAGACACGAGGAGTACATTTGACCAGTAGATGGCACTAGAAAGCCAACCAGTTAACAAAACAACAGGATCACTATTCTAGGTGTTATTATGCACATATGTGACAGAATTTTCCTACAGAGACATAAAAACACTTACACACTCTTCCCACCTCTTTCACTGCTCAGAGAATAAATTCTATAAGCTGTTGAAAATCTATATGAACTCCACAGCAATAAGAACATAATCCATTCAATTTTTTCACCTGAACTGAACCCTACAGGGATCTTTACAACTCTTGTAAATTAGTACATTCCACCGAATTGCAACAACCTACACACCACTGGCAGACTGTTAGTATTACATAAGTAACTCTTAAATATTTATATAAGGTGTGTGTAAAGTTTGAATGTAACCTGGTGGCTCTCTTTCCATGTGGAATCTGTCATTAACCAGGTTTTGTCTGTGAAATGTTAAAATACACAACATGAGTACCTGTTTCACGGGCTACCTAGCAACAACATGAAGAAACAAAAGAAAAGGCAATGTATCACTACTTGGATACGAAAATATATATTTTGATTTACAAGAAGACTATGATAAGATAAGATAAGATAAGATAAGATAACCTTTATTAGTCCCACACGTGGGAAATTTGTTTTGTCACAGCAGGAAGTGGACAGTGCAAAAGTTATGAGGCAAAAATTAGAATACAATAAGAATAAATACAGTACACAACTGTACAGAATAGAATAAAATAAAATACTATATACAGTAGAATAAAATAAAATAAATATACAATAAGATAAAAATAGAATACAAATACAAATACTATATACAACTGAGTAAAAATACAACGATGACAGAAAGGATTATTGCACTTAGTATTATTGCATATGTATGGATGTGTGTGCTTGATCAGTTAAAGTGTGCGTTAAATGTGTGCAAATGTAAATGGCCTGTATTTGTATAGCGCTTTACTTAGTCCCTATGGACCCCAAAGCGCTTTACACTATATTCAGTCATCCACCCAATCACACACACATTCACAAATGTACCAGGAGATTGCCAAAATAAAGATAGGGCAGTCCACTAAATCTGCTGTTGACATAGCAACCCTGTCCTCAGACCAGTTTTGACTGGATTACTCAAACATGGAAAAGCTCACATATTGGCCAAGTTTAAACAAAGGAAAGGGGCAACACTCTGACACATCAAACACAAGAGTGGACCAATGTGGGCACACTGCTAAGTTCTTCCAAAATGTGAGTCACTGCAGGGTTTTCCATTTGCATGTGTAAAGGAAAGTGAAACTGCGGGCGTGACCTCAAAATGAAACTGAAAAGATGGGATTAAAAGAGAAAACAGGTTGCCATGCCATCATAAAAAAGGCATTTTGTCTTCATTTTGCAGTTTCATTCACCTCTTCCTGCTGAGATGCACAGAATAAAAACGTTTCTGAGTTCAATTCCATTTCCATTGCACGTTCTCCCTGTGTTTGTGTGGGTTCCCTCCAGGTACTCTGGCTTCCTCCCACCGTCCAAAGACATGCAGTTTGTGGGAATAGGTTAACTGATTAATCCAAATTGCCCAATGGTTGTCTGTCTCTGTGTGTCAGGGCGTATCTCGCCCTGAAAAGGATAAGTGGAAGCGAATGGATAAGGATCTATGTGTCTGGGAGCAATAATGCTCAATCATAATAATATCTGCACTAATTTGAGAAGGTATTGTAACCGTGTTGCCAACCTGTCAGAGCTATCACAACCTCTACAAATATGAATGCAGATGGATAAATGTCATGCTACTGGTCCAAATTTTGGGATTCACTTCAAATTCCTTGCATTTGAAAAGAAAGTACAAGGTCTTTTGTGCTCTCTTCCTCCCCTCACCCCCTCCCTGTGCCCGCTTCTATTAAATGTTTGTTCCTGTTAAAAAGGAGTTTTTCCTTTCCACTGTGATGATTAATCAAACGACCAGATATAAATTTTTAGCAGAACATCTGCAAAAGTGTAGAGTAAGGCGGCAGCCACCATTTCTGCAAGTTTACCATGCATAAAGACTAGTGAGTGTAACAAGTGTCACCTGGCAGTTTGTTGCCTTCTGCCAGGTGATTGGCTGAAGAGCTGAGAAAAGGTAGTGGGTGTGTGGGGTGAAGTCAGCGCTCTTCTGTGGAAAAAACCAGAGGCAATTAATTCACTCAGGTGCGAGTGGGTATACTGTCGGTAAGAGACTTTTGCCATCTTTGTTTGGATCATTTGCTATTGCATGTGTCTATTTTTAATGTGTCATTGGACTTTTTTAGTGTGACCCAGGGGCGGAGCGTGGGGGTGGCTTACTGGGCTTAAGCCCGGGTCTTTTTGTCAGAAGCCCGGGGTCTTTTGGAGTGTAATTTTTTCATAGTTGGATGCCTGGCTGACAACTGTATAAAACAAAAAGTACACACAATATTCGAAGCACATAGTGCACACTGTGGGAATTTACGACTGTGCGTGAATCCCCCCTGATATTGGTATGATTCAAGACACTTCACCCGCTGCCTACTGGTGGTGGTCAGGGGGCCCGGTGGCGCCAGTGTCCGGCAGCCTCGCCTCTGTCAGTGCGCCCCAGGGTGGCTGTGGCTACAATGTAGCTTGCCATCACCAGTGTGTGAATGTGTGTGTGAATGGGTGGATGACTGGATATGTAAAGTGCTTTGGGGTCCTTAGGGACTAGTAAAGCGCTATACAAATACAGGCCATTTATGATCCAAGCTCAGGCACTAAGCGACTGAGCGAGGGGGCAGGGCAGCTGCCGCCTGTGAGTGCGCTGTTGGAGAAACGGAGCCAGCCATACTAGGAGAGCTTAAGTTTGACCAGGTACCAAAGCAAATCATTCGTACCGTACAAATAATGTAAATATGACGGTGCATCACGAAAGATTGATACCAAACTGATCACTTGACCAATATTACATTACTCGCTCTTCAAGTGAATCAACAAATGGCGAAATGAAAAGCCGAACAAATGCTTTTTTTTTTTTTTTTTTTTTTTTTTTTTAGAGAGTCTTAGCTTACGTGTGTTTATTTCATATTTTCAGTTCTTACCCTCCCCGACTAAATCGGTTTCAGTAATGCACTGAAATATAAGAATGGACATTAGAGGGTTCTTTCAAAGAAAAAACTCAGGTAAATGTTATTTTATATATTATGCTATGTATGGTGTTCAGTATATTTCTATGCAAAACAAGAGGGATTTCAGTACACAGCAGGATATTCACATTTGTAACCAGATATTTACATACACTTTAGGGAGAAAACGTAAAACATTTTTACTGTACAACATCAATTTAGAGTAAATTTTTGTTTTAGATAAATATTGAAATATATTTTGAATTAGTTAAATGTCAGAATAAAGAGAGACAGAGCTGTCTATTTTTATCACTTTCATTAAATTTAGGAGTACATGTACACTAAGTTTACTGTTAATTAATAAGAAAACTCCAGACGATTCCATTCTGAGCTGAAGAAGCTTCTGATTGGTTAGTAGAGTCCATGTGAGTAAATTGGTGGCACACCTGTGGATGCATATAAGGCAAAACACAGAGCCTGTTTCTTTGAAATGGGAAAATCAAGAGATATCAACCAAAACACCAGGAAAAGAATTGTGGAGCTCCATAAGTGTGGCTCAAGTTTGAATACAATTTGGTGCCATTTACAATTAAGAAATACAGATAGTTTCTCTCTTTACTCTTAAAGTTAACAAATATGTTTTTTATATTTATCAATCTAAAAAAAAAAAACATTTAGTCTGATTTGATGTTACAATTAAAAAAAGTGTTTTGATCTGAAGAGTTCGTAAATATCTGGTTTCAACTGTAGATTTGATGATTGTCAGCACAAAGAGGGAGAGAGAGGAACAGAGAGAGAGAGAGAGGGAGAGGAGAATGGGAACAGAACAGAGATGAACAAGAGCAGGTGAGACACACATGTTAGTCAAATGGTCGTTTACCACAAGTATCACCGTATCATAGGTACTCATGTATCTCGTACCTAGTGTTTCTTTTTAGGTTTGTTATTTTTCAAATTCTGTATTTATTAAGTTATGCAGCTTGTTTGCACAACAAGGCTAAATAATTATATAAACTTTTCTCAATCTAAATAGTGGACTTTGGTAGAATTAAAAAAATAAGTGTAGTGCAGGTCTATGATGATTTTTAGTGCTACTATCATCTAGTTCTGATTCGGGTTCGGTCTTGGTTAAGTCCCAAGTAGCCCTGATTTTGAACTGTTGTAGTCCTGTTTTAATTCTGGATCAGTTCTGGGTCTGGTTGAATTGGGGTTTAGTCCTCGTGTCTTGATACAGCCAGACTTTGTTCTGCCTTGCTGCTTAATTAAAAAACTAGTTTAAGGTGTCCTGCACATGTGATATATATTTTTCCCTATATGAAGTCATTCTTTTTTGAACAAAACTCAAAACAAAGCCAATTAATCTTTCAGTCATTTCTAAACCCCCCCCCCCCCCCAAAAAAAAAAAAAAAAATCCCACATGCATACTACCCTTTAGGGCTAAGCCCCGGGTGTTTCAAATGTCTGGCTCCGCCTCTGGTGTGACCACGAATTTTAATAGAAGAATTGATCAAGCCCTAGATCGACTGCGCGCAGGGAAACTGATCAATATTGTAGGTATATTGAGTGTTTGTTTTAGCGTCATGATTTTGAATGGTTTCATAAAATTTATATTTTATTGGGTAATATTTTAATTGATAATGTTGTTTGTTTTTCAGCTGTGCTGTCTCTGCTGTCCTTTTTTCGTTCTTTTGATTGATTTGTAATTTTGTTTTGGTTAGTCCGTCCAGCCGTAAAGGCGGTTATTGATTGAGAGTAAGTTTTGTAAGGGCGGACTAATCCCCCTTTTTGTTTTTTAATTGTTTGTGCCACTTCCCTTTATCTCCCAGATCGCAGGCCATGCATAGCACTGATTCCCAGCTGCGCTGAGACCCGAATTGTTTGCGGTGTGTGCCACGATTGCAGTGTCGCTAAGCGGGGTGTGACGGGTTGCAGTGTTGTTATTTTCGCACAGTTTGTGTGGTAAGTCTCATGTGCTCTGGGATATCAGCAGGATGTGTTGTAAGTCCTGTCTGGAAATGACTGGGAATTTGTATGTCTAACTCATGTAATAAATAAATGATCAATTTATTTCTTTGCCCCGTTTACTCATCCCTTGTCCTCGGTTACATGAGCAAAGCGGAAAACTGCTGTGCTGATTGAAGAAACAATACATTCAGTTAGTCTTGTGTCTGGAACATTAGCAGCTCCTTCAGAGCTTTCTTGTCTCTGTGAAAGTGAGGCTGTTCCCATTCATTATATTTGCTCGTTTTAGCAGCGCATGAAGGCTTTTCGTGGCTTCTACATTTGTGCATTTGTTCAGGGTGTGGTCTCTGTGTTTTCTGTTCTCTTGCTCTATCTCAATTTTTGGTGTGGAGGACAAGCTGTATTCTGCATACCAGTTAGTATTTAACCTGTCAATCAGGTGCGTTCAGGATTATCTGGTCATTTAACTAGAGCTGAGCGTGTTAAAGTCACTGCTGGCACAGTCAATTTAGCAAATTGTTTATAATGCCTGTTATGTAAAATTCTGCCATAGATGTTGATATCACATTAATAACTATATGATAATACGCTAATAAATGTTTTATATTTTGCAGCAAAAAAATAATAACGAGGTGTACATGGTTAATTAAAGGTATAAAAAGGTGTTTTATTTGTTAGACAGTTAGTAGTGAAGTTGTTTTATTTTTAAGACAGAATATTCAAAATTTAGTTTTATTATTAATTATTTCGGCGGATGAAGCGTGCCCTGTGCTGTCATTACGTGGATGAAGTAGTAGCTTTCTTGAACGTTCCTCGTTCACTGTGTGTGTGTGGGTAAGTTCAGAGATCCACAGGGTAGCTGTCCTTTGGGCATCTTGAGCAACACAGAACACTGCACACAGAAACACAAGAGAGGTGAGTGCGCTGCGGTTTGGACCAAAAAGCGGGAGAAAACTGATTTCTTCTGTTCATGAAGACTTATTTACAAGTTGGGTGAGGAAGGGCTACAAGAAGCATGCTTGCTAACTGAAATGTTAGCTAGGTTAGCCGTGAGGATGGTGATGAAGCGCAACGCCGGCATGTTTGTTACGTAGACATTGAAGTGCTGCCATTTTTAAAAAAATAAAATAAAATTTAAATTAAAACTGTGCTTGTGTTGAATTCGTTAGGATTATTGCCGCCTTGGTTCGCTGTGGTTAATATAAAATAGTCAGTGAAGATTTTTAATAGATTTTTCCCTCGCTTGTCATCAGAAGCCTCTAACCGGTTTAGCTAATGTGTACTCAGCGTGAACCAGCAGGGACCTGGAGCTTCTGTGCCCTCATACTCCTTTCTTGGTATTATTATTATGATGATGTTGTCCATGCTGGTTGTTTTGCCAGGTTTGACCAAACTAAAAAGGACATTCCTCTGTATTTTATTTCTGTCTTGGTTGTTTTGAAAGTACATATTGTCCTTTTAGTTTACTTTTTCTGAAATGCAGGATTTTATATTGTTTTCATTTTAGTTTCATACATTTTATATAAGTCTGCTAATACATGTAATTTACTTTATGAAGTGTAACATATGAAGTGTAAGTATGTCCTGTCCATAGTGTTAGTTTTGAGGAACACCATGCAGATACTAGCAGATACTACAGAAACAAGGTGATTTAGCACTTTACAAAAAATGTTGAACCCGACCAAATATGGGATTTTGCAGATTTTGTTGATTTGTAAATTCAGTATTCCAATATATTGGCCAATATTTTTTTTTTTTTTCTTCGAGGCACATATTTACATAACATTTGTGTGTTGTTATTTACTCCTTTATGCTCTGCCCGACCTTGCTGGGATCAGTTGTTGTTGTTGTTGCTTTCCAAAGATTTTACCAAAGATGGTAAAATCCAAGCCAAGGCTGGACAAATTACGCAATGTTAACACTCATAACATGGGTGATTGGCGTTTATCCTATCCCTTTCTTTTTAAAATTCCATCTACTGGATGATATAAATGCTGATGGTGACTGATTAGATCAGTTGGTAAGGCTGTAACATACATTTATTCATTCGTCCTTTCACCATTCAGAGCTGCGACTGAGCTCTGCCCTGGCAGGCTGTGCTGGGGGAAGTTGTGTCTGTGGTTGTGGTTACTGATTGTGGTTGAATTTCAGAGGTGGGTCGAGTATCCAAAAATTGTACTCAAGCAAGAGTAGCATTACTTTAAAATATTATTACTCAAGTAAAAGTGAAAAGTAGTCTTCAAAAAAGTTACTCGAGTAAGAGTAAAAAAGTACTTGGTGAAAAGACTACGCAAGTAGCGAGTAACTGTTTGAAATGTCTGATTTTTATAAATAAATGCTATCAGACAAACAATAAATAAATATACAAATTTTAGTATTTTCAAAAGGAATATATGTAAAAATCAACAAAATAAGGCACAACAATTCTAATTTCAAGATTTCAGATTTTCACAACATTTTTCAAACAAGCTTTTTTTCACCAATACCTACAGTAAATAATATAAATATATAAACAGTGCAAACAATTTCCAGTGACAAGATATGCTGTAAACTTTATATTCATTTTTGCTCCAAATGGCACAGCAGCCTCAGAGAAAACATTAGAACGAGGTATCTTCATCATATGTACATACAAGGCAGCTCAGTTTACCATAAGTTGTATGGGTGTGCATCTATTTCTGCATATTTAGCAAAAATGTGCCATTTATTCACTCAGTGAGGTGATGGTAAGCTTCAGCAGCAGTTTGCTCTCAAGGTTCTTGCTGTGAAGCTGTCACTGTTTATCAGTGAACAGGAGTCCTGCATGACTGAGAAGTCCTTCACAAGCTCCAGATGCAGGAAGAGCTGTATTGATTTTGATCAACAGCTTCTTGATGTGAGGAACACCATGCAATAGAGCCACACCTCCAGTGAATGGACATGAAAGGTACCTCTCCAGCCCTGCTTCTGGCTTTCCTGACCCCATGGAGCCATCATCTTAGTCGGTTAGGCTGCTTTTTGCGCTGGCCTCATCCAGCTCTGTCTAGGCGATGTCTGATGAAGTTGAGACCTGTGGAAAGATATAAGGTTTTCAAAAGAATTAGCTCTGGTCATTATAGTGCTGTATACACTGCAAAGCTGTGGATGTTTGGCAAGAAGATTCGATCACACTGGAGATGTTTTTTTTACTAACTCTTGTAGAAAAACAAAATCTTGTCATTCATATCCCGCACAAACAGTTTGCAATGAATTCCAGATTAACCCATATGGAAAAGATATATATAAATCTTATAAAGTTTGTATCTGTCTTGTGTGAAACTTGTATGAAAAGCATATAAGAGTGAAAATGGATATAAGATCCCTTGAAAAATTATATAATGAAACTTATATGTTTTGGATACTTACTAAAATGTATGAAAGTAATGAGAAAATGGCCACTTTCATGAGTAAATCATGTAAGCCTTATATAATTTACTCATGAAAGTGGCCACTTTCATGAGTAATCGCATAAGTTTTTACTATTTCTTTTCCATATGGGTTAAGTTTAAAATAAGAATGCGTGCAAGGCTAAGCAGTGCTAGCCAATAGATCCTCCTGTTTGGCTGTTACTCTGGGAAAAGACGAGAAAGACATTGATGGAAGCGTGACTGGAGCTGCGATGTAGCCTATATAATATTTATATTGTACGAACGTGATAATTCTGTATATTGTAATAACGTGATATTAAATTGATACGCTTCTGTATCCGAGGCTTTTCAATGTGGCCTCACAAAATTATCACAACTACAACAACCATGAAAAGAGCTGGATGGACATTGCTGCTCAATCACAGCTGCCTGGTCAATGTTTTTCATTAGTAATTTAGCAAAGTTGACGGTGGTGGTGTGTGTGCCTGTGTGAGTGAGTGAAAGACAGAGAGAGGGAGAGCGAGAGACAGATTTTGTATGATAAGCTTCATGTTATGAATGCACAGTTTGAGCACTCAGGTCGTATCAGGCCGTATAGTGTGAGACCCTGCATCGTGGCCTATGAACTTCTACCCATAAATTCATATGGATATTTCACCATCTATCACCATTCAGACACAAAGAGTCTGTGATACCTTATTTAACAGGATTTTATGCATTTTCTTGTTATTTCAAGCCTTTTGATGAACAAAAATCTGTTTTTCAAGTTGGAGTAAATCAACCCCCGCTTGAACAGGTTTTATGTATTTATTTTCTATATCTATTTATCTTTTTCTTATCGCTGTGGGTGCCAACAAAAACCGCATCATTGTGCTTTTGTCACATGTTAGCATACTTGTAACAATACTGCTGCATGTCGCTCGTCTTACACCCATTCATAAAGTAATATGTTGCCAAGAATCATGATTGCTAGTATACATCCACATTTAAAACCAGAACCACTGTAAAAGCTGTGTCATCTTTTAAATACAGTCTGTCCAAATCAGGTTTGTAGTTGAAATCAACAGTGCAGAATCGTGCAGAGCGTTGTACCAAGTTTGGTCCCAATACTTTATATGATAAAATATAAGGTAAGCTTAACTCTACAGGTTAGACACACACACAGATGTTTTTCTGTAGCACTGTTGTTATTTTACACCAATACAGTTGTGTTTATGGTGATATGCTCAGTTGTAACATCTCCGAAAGGTTAGATTTGGTGATGTTTCTGCTAAAAAGTGAAATTTTCAGTTGTCATTCTGAGTGAGACAGACTGAGGTCATGGCATTACTTCTGTTCAGCTTTGTGAACACATGACTCGGTGGTTGCACAATGCTTTCTGTTAAAAAAAAAAAGAAAGTGGTTAGATTCAGGAGTTAATGACGTCATTCTTGAAAGTCTTTGAAAATCTGAATTTCCTCAGTGACTGTAACTGTGCTGCTTCTTTAAAAGCTGTCAGATAAGTCAAAGTAATGTTTATGGCTGTTGTGATAAGATATGTGTAATCACCTGATAAAGCACAGCTATGTCATGTGATATCTTCTGGTTTATCAGTGGTCTGCAAATGCGTTTTTGGTTGGTAGTTCTAGTTTAGTATGGTATTGTTCTCGATTCTCGGGTTAGTCAATCTTCTATTCCTCAGTTTTTATTGTTTGCTGGACAACATACAAGAGTGAATTGAACCCTTGGCCTCCTCGTTCCCCTCCTCCCTGCTCACTCCCCCTCAGCTGGTTGGCTATTTTTTTTTTGAAGGATGAAGTAACAGCTTGTTGGTCAGTTGATTAGAAATGGAAACATTTTAAAGTTCTGTTTGTCATTTACTCAAAACCCATTGGCTGTAAGTGTACACACAGTTTGGAGTTTCTCGAGGAGTGCAACAACATTGAATTATACAAGTAAAAATTGGGAACTCTGTTGAAATGTTTCACATTACTGACATTTTCAGAAGTACATTTATCTGCCCCTAAGACCTGCTAACAAAGTGTGGATGGAAAAATAATGATCAGCTACCAGATGATGCTCATGTGCTTTTTTATTTTTATTTTTATTTTTTTATTTCTCTTTCTTTGTCAGAACGTCAATGCAATGCTGCTCCTCAGACGCTGCCACAGGCTGAATCCAATTGGCCCGCTCAGCATTGACAGGTACATTATTATAACAACGTATTTCTAATGTTTATTTCATATAATTTACTTCATTTTTACTTGTGATGTAGCTCAGTAGCTGAGCTCCACTAAGACAACTTTTTCTGGTTAACAGACTGTGTACCTGCAAATTAATTTAGTGTTACGAGTTTTTAGGTTACGTTTTTAGTGTACAATAAATCTAAAAGCTTGCACTTTATTTTGGTGCTACAGTAGCAATTAGCAACATATATTCCAGGTTTTTCCTGGTGAACATTTAAAACTGACAGAAAACTGACAACTACAGGATGTCTTAGTTTTTTTTTTTTTTGTCTTGCATTGTGCACTTCTTCTTTCTGTCACAGGCATAATCTGTAAACAAATGATGGCTGTAGCTTCCAGTGAATAAAAAGTAAAGAAAATGCAGAAGTGCCTTAAACCTGGAAAGTGTCTGATTGACAAGAACATTTTTCAGCTTAACCCAAACACATTGCCAGTGCAGTAAAAGCATGCATCAGTCATGGATTGGCCATCCTGGAGCTCAGACCTCAACTTTACTGACCCAGTGTGGGATCATTATGACAGAGAACCGAACAAAGAGCAGCCATCTTCCAAAGAAGCGCTTTAAATGTCCTTCAAGAAGCCTAGCCTTCTGAAGACTAGTTAATGAAATGACAAGAAAGCTGCCTAAGAGAGTCAGACTATGTTTAAGAATGAAGGTGGTCATACCAAACATTCACTTTCATTCTCATTAGAATTTTACTAGTAGGTTTTGCTGTGTGTGTATATATATGTCAAAGTTATATTTCCATTTTTAAAATGTTCTCAGAAATCAGGTGGCACCTGTAGTTGCATCGTGTGCAGTTCGTCTCTGCAGCAGCAGCAATGACCAGAGGTTTCACCAATATGGCTTCAGTGCCAGCTGGAGACACGTCCTGGCAGGACTGCTGGCTGGCACAGGGGCTGTACTAGCATATGGTCTACACCGTCACAAGGTTACAAACGGACAATATCTGTCCATTTTTACTTTCTTTTTAAAGTTTAATGCACTTTTTTTTTTTTGCCATAATTTGCTAAATTATGCTAACTACATATGTTTTTAACCACAGCAGCAAATGAAAATTTAAAATTGCACCGTCTCAGCAAAAATCTTTATCAGCAGATTTTGTACCTTCAGAGTTTGTCAAGCAAAAACAGAGCACTGCCCTGCAAAGTCCACGGTCGTTACAGAAACCCTTTCTCAGCAGTACAACCAGATTAACAGCACCGACAGCATAATTTTCTCAAACTGCCAAGTCTGACATTTTCTAACTTTAACAGTTAAATGTCAACTGATGTCTTTCCAGGAATTAGGCTGTACCTAATGAGGCTCGTATGCAAGCAGTCAGTGCTAACTCTCAAGGAGCTGCTTACTGGTTGTTTATCTAGTCAAATAAAAAAGGCCACACGGTTTTATGTTAAGGTAGTAAGCAGCAGTAGCGCTTCAAATTTGAAAAGTTGAAAGCTCATATATTTTCTTCTTTTGACATCCCAGGGAACTTTTTGGTGTTTTTAATATAAGTAGGGAGTATATAGGTCTGTGCATGACCATTAGTTTATTGCTATTTTGATAGAAACTGATGCCTGATGCCTTTCTGTGCAGGCTATAGAGAAGAGCTCCCCGCTTCCTATCATCAGCCAGGAGGAAGTTACAAGGCATCGCTCCCTGAAAGATGGCGTTTGGGTCACCTACCAAGGCGGTGTCTATGACATTACCGAGTTTGTTTCCATACACCCTGGTGGGGAGAAAATCATGATGGCAGCAGGTGGTGCCATTGAGCCCTTCTGGTCGCTTTATGCGGTACACAATCAGGAGCATGTGCTGGAAATCCTCTCTGAGTATAAGGTGAGAAACCCGCTTGTTTCTGTTGATTTAACTAAAGCGCTGTTACATACTAAGGAGTTAAAATGTACTGCACTGGGGTTTGTTATTCAGTATTAAAAGATCAGGTGTAACCACTGAGCTTGGTTAGAGTTTAACATAATCACCCCTGTAGTAAGTTAGCTAAAGGGGAGCGTGGGTGTAAAAGCTTTAGCAACACTGCTATTCATAGAAATTTACCAGGAAAAAAAACTTTCTTATGGGTGGAAATAGTTGTGTCAAACGGGATATTACAAAGTATAGCTGTGTGGAAATTTGCACTTAAACCAAACTGCAGACCTCAACACATGTGTGAGCCTTTCATTTGACATCAACACAGACATACCCACTGCTAAGCTTGCAGAGCTCTTTCTTTTAATAAGGTTCTCACTCAAAAGAAAAGCTGACATAATAATAAAACAGTAGATGCTGTTCATTAGATATTTTTGAAAAATTGCAACAGAGGTTGATGAGCTTTCGCAGCACATCGCTTGAATTTATCCTTAAATTAACTTTTTAAATGTATGCTGTTCATCTTGCCCTTCTGTTCAATGCAGACACATATGAAAAGGTCTGCTGCACACTATATACTGAGGAAAACCTCATGGCTGTAAGCTGAATGCTGGCACTCCCTCAAGTGGTCACTGAGGAAAAAGTGTGTGGCTGATGTTTTTATTAGCTTCTTGAGCTGAAGAGAAGTTCAGTTGCAGTTTTGGTCTAATAAAATCTTTGTGTTTGTGGTTGATGCAAGATTGGTGAGCTGAAAGCGGAAGACCTGAAGAAGCAATCTACTTTTAAATCATCAGACCCCTACTCTTCTGACCCTGAGCGTCACCCTGCCCTGCGCACCAACAGCCTCAAGCCCTTCAATGCTGAACCTCCGCCTGAAATCCTCGCTGACAGCTACATCACGCCCACTGCTTTCTTCTTCAAAAGAAACCACCTCCCGGTTCCTCAGGTGGACCCCGATTTATATCGCCTACATGTGGAGGGGCTACCCAGAGGAGTGCTCACACTGTCTTTAGAAGAGTTGAAGACTCGATTCCCCAAACACACCATCACAGCTACCCTGCAGTGTGCAGGAAACCGCCGTAGTGAGATGAATAAGACCCGGCAGGTTAAGGGACTGAACTGGGGCTTTGGTGCCATTGGTAATGCGACATGGAGCGGCGCCAAGCTCAGGGATGTCCTGCTGGCTGCAGGTTACGGGCCAGATGTAGCCCAGTGGGCTCGCCACGTTCAGTTTGAAGGACTGGATAAAGAAATAACAGGGAGTGCGTACGGTGCTTCAATCCCTATAAATAAGGCAGTTAGCGAGGAGGGTGATGTGCTGCTGGCCTATGAAATGAACGGCAAGGATATTCCAGCCGACCATGGCTTCCCCATTCGTGTGGTTGTACCAGGTGTAGTGGGCACACGCAACGTGAAGTGGCTGGGTAAAATAATAGTCAGTGCACAGGAGAGCAGCAGCCACTGGCAGCAGAAAGATTACAAAGGTTTCGCCCCTGGAATAGACTGGGACACAGTGGACTACAAATCTGCTCCAGCCATCCAAGAGCTGCCTGTTCAATCTGCCATTACCACACCTGCAGAAGGCTCCGTGATCGATCGCAGCGAAGAAATGCTGACTGTGAAGGGCTACGCTTGGAGCGGCGGGGGCAGAGAGGTGATACGCGTCGATGTTTCTGTGGACGGAGGGAAGACGTGGAAGGAGGCCAAGTTGAAGAGCAGCGACAAGGAAGGAGATCAAACTTCTCCCCCACTAGGACGAGCTTGGGCATGGAAGCTGTGGGAGATAACGGTTCCTCTTCCTCCAGAGGCCCAAGAGCTGGAGCTCATTTGCAAGGCAGTGGACAACAGTTACAACACGCAGCCGGACACATTCGGTCCGATCTGGAATGTGAGGGGCTTGCTGAGTAACGCCTGGCACAGAGTGAAGGTGAAGATCAGCGAGGATGACGACGAAGAATAGGCTCAGCGGTTGAAGTACAGAAATCAAAAGACTTAGAGCTTAAACAGAGTCATCTCAGAGTGGGCTCTTTTTGTCTTTTTTAATTACATTTGTGTCATGGACTCAGCAAATGTAGGATCAACCAGGAGTAGCACTACATTTTGAAATATTTTTGACAAACAGCCTTAAAAATGTATTCATTTTGTTGCCTGGGAGATTTGCAGTGGTACACACATGGGATGAAGCTCAAGGCTGTGAACAGCCAAATTAAATTATGTCTGGTTATCTCCATTTATTAGTCACTGTCTTTTATTCTTAAGCAAAACTGTGGTTCAGTTTGACTCTGAAGCTCTGTGGTTTATAATGAAGCATTTATTTTTTATAATCCATATTTATAACACTGAAGATGAACTTAGAGCTATTCAAAGAAAATCTACCTGTAGTAACCATCTCGTTGAAGTAATCGATGTTTGGCTTAGGTTAGCGCATCAGTGGTGGACTGTGGCCTCTGACTAATCATGCTGCTCTTTCAGAGGAGATACAGTGGGGCAAAAAAGTATTTAGTCAGCCACCGATTGTGCAAGTTCCCCCACCTAAAATGATGACAGAGGTCAGTAATTTGCACCAGAGGTACACTTCAACTGTGAGAGACAGAATGTGAAAAAAAAAAATCCATGAATCCACATGGTAGGATTTGTAAAGAATTTATTCGTAAATCAGGGTGGAAAATAAGTATTTGGTCAATAAGAAAAATACAACTCAATACTTTGCAACATAACCTTTGTTGGCAATAACAGAGGTCAAACGTTTACTATAGGTCTTTACCAGGTTTGCACACACAGTAGCTGGTATTTTGGCCCATTCCTCCATGCAGATCTTCTCGAGAGCAGTGATGTTTTGGGGCTGTCGCCGAGCAACATGGACTTTCAACTCCCGCCACAGATTTTCTATGGGGTTGAGGTCTGGAGACTGGCTAGGCCACTCCTGGACTTTCAAATGCTTCTTACGGAGCCACTCCTTTGTTGCCCGTGCGGTGTGTTTTGGATCATTGTCATGTTGGAAGACCCAGCCTCGTTTCATCTTCAAAGTTCTCACTGATGGAAGGAGGTTTTGGCTCAAAATCTCACGATACATGGCCCCATTCATTCTGTCCTTAACACGGATCAGTCGTCCTGTTCCCTTGGCAGAAAAACAGCCCCATAGCATGATGTTTCCACCCCCATGCTTCACAGTAGGTATGGTGTTCTTGGGATGCAACTCAGTATTCGTCTTCCTCCAAACACGACGAGTTGAGTTTATACCAAAAAGTTCTACTTTGGTTTCATCTGACCACATGACATTCTCCCAATCCTCTGCTGTATCATCCATGTGCTCTCTGGCAAACTTCAGACGGGCCTGGACATGCACTGGCTTCAGCAGCGGAACACGTCTGGCACTGCGGGATTTGATTCCCTGCCGTTGTAGTGTGTTACTGATGGTGACCTTTGTTACTTTGGTCCCAGCTCTCTGCAGGTCATTCACCAGGTCCCCCCGTGTGGTTCTGGGATCTTTGCTCACCGTTCTCATGATCATTTTGACCCCACGGGATGAGATCTTGCGTGGAGCCCCAGATCGAGGGAGATTATCAGTGGTCTTGTATGTCTTCCATTTTCTGATGATTGCTCCCACAGTTGATTTTTTCACACCAAGCTGCTTGCCTATTGTAGATTCACTCTTCCCAGTCTGGTGCAGGTCTACAATACTTTTCCTGGTGTCCTTCGAAAGCTCTTTGGTCTTGGCCATGGCGGAGTTTGGAGTCTGACTGTTTGAGGCTGTGGACAGGTGTCTTTTATACAGATGATGAGTTCAAACAGGTGCCATTCATACAGGTAACGAGTGGGGGACAGAAAAGCTTCTTACAGAAGACGTTACAGGTCTGTGAGAGCCAGAGATTTTCCATGTTTGAGGTGACCAAATACTTATTTTCCACCCTAATTTACGAATAAATTCTTTACAAATCCTACCATGTGAATTCATGGATTTTTTTTTCACATTCTGTCTCTCACAGTTGAAGTGTACCTCTGGTGCAAATTACTGACCTCCGTCATCATTTTAAGTGGGGGAACTTGCACAATCGGTGGCTGACTAAATACTTTTTTGCCCCACTGTATGAAATACAAAACTATAGTGTGAAGTTCCAGCTGAAGTCCAGCTGTGTACAGGACAACGCTACAGCGCAGCAGAGGTCCCTGTGTGGTAAGGAGAGGCCAGAAAAAATATACTGTTGAGAAGTGAGTGCTGACTCCTTACACTCAGAGAGAGGACGGGAGAATAATATGTAGGACCAGTAAAATGTAACGGTTAGTCATTTTAGCATTTGTTTGAAGAACTGGAGAAACTGCAGGTTTTATTTTTTTACAACATTATGAAAATATGCCGATGCACTGCTCTTAAGTCTTATTAACAGGTGGATTATATTTGAAAGTGTGAGAATCATGAAATGTATTTAACTGCTTACAATGAATAAAGACTTGGACTTTACACTGGCCTATGTCTGGTTATTCAGCTTTTCCTGATTTTGGCCTTTCACACTATTTTTTTTTTTTCTCAAATTAATGTACAAGGAATAATTACACCATGATGACAGATGGCTGTTGTTACAGATGGATTTCAGCAACTTTCAGTCCAGCTGGTACACACAACTCCTCCTGTCAGTCACGTAGCTCTGCTCTGTTTGCTTTAGATACTTACGTGTGTGTGTGTGTTGTCTTATGATTTCAAAAGCAGCCCGATCCCAAAAAAAGAACACTTTGTACATACTAGTCTTACTCTTCCCTCCTTTTGTTCCTTTTTCCCTTTTAATTACATAACTAACTTTCACAACAATGACAAATGCAAATGGCAGGAAGCACAAAGCTGACGCCTGAGGTTTACTGCAAGGTCAGCAAACACGCAGAACTGTCACATTGATGGTAAATGGTAATATTTTGCCAGTATGATGCGAGATTAACATAACTGAAGTCTGCAATACAGTTGTTTTCTTTGTAAAGTTTTATAAAAAGACAAATATTAAGAAAAGATGTTTCACCTCTCATTGAAGATGCTGCTTCATTTCTAAAAACAAATAGTGGAGAAAGAACAACGTATTTAAACCCTAGTGGGGTTTTGGAAGTAATCCTGAGGGTCCTCATATGAGCCAAGTTGTGGAAAAAAGGCGTGGGTCATTACCATCACCAGGGGTTAAGGGTGAAACCCCCTGTGAGACCTTGCCCCACTCTGCCATGTGAGGTCACCTAAGGAATAGTGTGAGTGTTCATTGAAGATCCTGGGAAGAGATCTCAAGACTGCATTTTAGGTGGCTAAAGCTGGTGTAAGTCACCGCCTCTGTTCAATGATGGTTGTTCACATTGGACATTGATAACCTCTTTCACTCCTGTTTCACACCATCTGTCTTCTCGGTCATTGATATGATGAGAAAGAGGGTTTTTTTTTAAGAACTAAAAGAACTGAAGAAGTCCTGTTAACTTTTCAGGCTCTCGCGCCTACCATGAACCTGGACAGCTGAGACATAAGTCATTCTTCTTAGCTTAGTACTACTATGTAAATCAGTGCTAGAACTGAATAATTATGAGCAAAGACACATCACGTTATAAAAGTTATTACTATAACCTAATAAAAAAATGTGGATTCAGACTCCTCTGCTGGTGTAACAGACTGCCTGTGTGGTACCTGTGAGGCTATACGATGCCAACCATGCACTCACATCTTGAGACCAGCTGTTTTACTGCCTTTAATGCTCCTGTACATTTATGCCACTTCAGTACACAGCGCTCTATTCCAATCATATCGCAGACATTTTCAAGAATACACATCAAAATACAATCTCAGCCTTCCATCATCTGCTATTTTTTCATTAGATGCCAAAGCAGGGTTGAACGAAATCAGGAAATCTTCAAAATGAGCTAAGCTCGTCAAAAGGTATGACTTGCTGGACTGGCCATCTGGCATACCGGTTTTGTGCCAAAAAAGTGATTGTCTGCCAAAAACCGATGTTTCTGTGTATTTTTTATGTGTAATATCTTTACGTATGTTCGTAAATAGACTTCGGTGAACAGGGGATACAAAGGGGTTACATAAAGAATTAAAATTTTTTCTTTTTTTTAAGTATCTTTACAACTTGTACTTACATTATAACCAATCCGGTCCTTTATCCTCACTTAAAATATTTTTACAGAACTATTGTAATATTTGCTGCCATTTCTGCTGTCCTGTTGGGCAACTTACTCTTACAAAATCCATTTTTAATGTTAATGAGATTTTTTTTACTGCATAAATAAAGGTTATATAAAAGTCACTGCCAAAAACTGATTGCGGCTTCTATCTTGTTACACGAATGTTGTTTGTGGCTCAAGATGACTTTATGTCATCCATGAGGGATGCATTTGACATATGTTTAACATATTATAGCCCAACAAGTTACCTATAGGGACGATCTGATTTCCTCGTGTCAGCATTGTTCCCACATCATCATAATTAATGTTGTTCCAGGTTCAACATTGCAAGTGACCAATCACCTTCTTGTGACGTCATTCCTTTGCGACTTCGAAATACCCGCCTTCGAGTATTTCGAAATACAAGTGAAGAAGCGAAAAACCGCCGCCTGTCCGCCGAATTTGAAGTCAATTCGCCTGTCCGCCGAATTTGAAGTCAATTTAGGATACTTTCCTTTAATAAACGGTAAGCATTATACATATGTTCCTCACTTGGCTTGCTGTTTGTTTGCTAGCGATAGGCTACTTGACAACAGCATTAGCTAACCAGTGTTCTCTAGACCAGCGTTCCCCAACTTTTTGGGTGTTTCGTGGCCCGGGGGTTGGGTCAGGCAAAATTGCAGTAGCTTCCCTGATCATTTTACAAACATAAGTGAAGAGAATCTGGACTAAAAGGCCTAGACTTATGGTTGTGTGCTGAATCTATGAATCAAACTATCACCTGGAAACATAATTAACTGGTCCATAGCTGTGAAACTGGACATGAGTTCTTGATTCTATGGAGATTAACAGTAATCCAGAAATTTACAAATTTGTCCCTGGGACATCGCGTAGATGTTGTCCCTGGGACATCGCGTAAATGTTGTCCCTGGGACATCGCGTAAATGTTGTCCCTGGGACATCGCGTAAATGTTGTCCCTGGGACATCGCGTAAATGTTGTCCCTGGGACATCATGTAGAAGTTGCCCTGGAACATCGTGTAGATGTTGTCCCTGGGACATCGCGTAAATGTTGTCCCTGGGACATCATGTTAAAGTTGCC